TTCTAATGAGTTTTTAGTCTTTCATGAATACAACCGTCTCAAGCTAGTTTAACGATAATATCTACTTCTAAATATTTAAATTGTTTAATGAAATCTATATTTTTCGATTCGTAGTATAATCGAGGGTATAGTAAGGAAATTATGTTGTGAAATTGTACTACTTGCGTCTTTGAAATATTAACCGGTATCAGAAAATTTTATCAGTTGTTCCAAAACGAATACTGCTCTCTTCATCAATGATTGTTCTAATATTATACTTTAACGTTAAGTTCTATCAAGCTGAAAAGATAATTTGAAATGACAAATACTCTAGAAGTAATATGAATAATGTCAAATAATTGTATTATTTATTATTGTTTGTTTATGTTTATCAAAATCTGCTAAATAACATGAATCATTGTGAACTAATAAAATATTCTAAAGATATTAGGAAAATCTAAAGTAATTTTAATGATTTAACTAACTTTTATTGCTTGAATATTTATTCATAAATATTGATTTAATGATTATTTATATCATAGTAAAAATATCCATAAGCTATTCTTCTTTCGGAAAATTACTGAATCAATATTAAAAAGTAGAACAATGTGTCGAATAGCTAATTTGGGGTGATAATAAGCTTTGAGTTATTATAAACATCCATAATCTAATACAGAGTATTTTCGGTTTTTTTTAACATTATAAAAATTTGAAACATCATTAAATAGATTTTATTCTTTTCCATTATTCAATGTATAATTCCATTCATCTACGTCTAACTAGTCGACAAATGATGATTAATATAATAAAAAGATGAAATAGAATATATTCTAACCACGTTCGATGTTTCAGATTCTGTTGATGAAATATATTGGCTATGTAAAACTTAATGTTATTCTATCATGATTAATATTTAGTTCATGTCTTATTGTTCATCGAAAAGTTTTCTTTGCTTAATTAATAATTTCATTAATAATGATTTTGATAATTTCTTGTTGAACACCGATTTGAATAAATTCTTTGGTGGTTTAGGTTTTTATTTGTCATGTTTTATTTTCTATTGAAATCTTTCAATAAATTTTTGTTCTTCATGCTTGTGTGTAAAAGAAAATTTTTTATTAAATTCAAAATTAAATTAGTTATGTTGTAAGATTATTCAAGAACAGTTTTAACAATAAATTGAATGATGTTGCTATAGCTGATTTAATTAATGAACTAAAAGATTTTGGTGTATGTTACAAATATAAAAATTGTCATATAAGTTGTCAATTGTATTGTTCCGATGTATATTATTGACCATCGTACGAATATTCATTAGTAATTTGCAAGATTTTTTTTCGTTCTTTTCGAAGAATTTTATTAAATTTTTCTAAAATAAAAAAATCATCTTCGAATGAATTGATAATAGTATCTTGAAATAATATGATTATATCTTGTTTTGTCTTATGAAAAATATGTGAGGATATTTAAGATTCTCGAGAGCAACTTTAATTGATAGAAAACATTTATGTGTATTAACGGCCACAGAGCTGTTCTCATACATCAATACTAATGTTGGCTAAATTAATCTAATAAGTTCATGTAAGTTTTGTTTAACAGTTGGTATATCTTAAAATAAACATCCTAGTATATCCTATGTATCAATTCTTATAAGGAAAGTTCGTAACTGATTAATAGCTTTTGGGTTGGAGCTCTATATATCATGTGGAATCTGATGGACTATGGATACCCTGAACAAATTTCAGGTGCTTAGCTTATTAGTGCAGTGATACTGTATTTTTCCACTCAATGCTCGATTGTGCCGCTCTTGAACATCAGAAGAAATGATTTTCGCATTTTGACTTGAAACTTTCCATAGAGATTGCGTTCATCAAGAACAGTTTATTGTGAAAGTTTCAAGCTTTTTGATTTCTCCCTATCATCTTAAGATATGACAATGATGAAAGAGTGTCTTTTACACCGCTCAAGTGGACTGGTGCATTTGATGTTCTCATTTCAGAATAAGAGCAAACTAAAAGGTCTGAAATTTTCTCAATAAATTATTCTCATTCAGGCTTGTTTGCATGCATAATTTCAATTCAAAATTCGAAAAGCAGCTTTCTTTGTATTCCTGAGTGAGACTATTCCATTCTGCTAAAAAATACCGTAAGAATGCAGTATCTTCACAGTAATAAGCTTACGACTAGAAATCTTTTGAGGGCATTTAAAACTCATTCGAATCTATATGATGCTGATAGTCTCGACTCAAAAGTGGTTCATTAGTTGAGAGATTTCCTTCGCGAGTTGTAAGATAGGAGACAGAATTCGAACTTTAACAAAATGTTTCACTCAAGCAGTAAAGTCTTCTTCTGATAAATTTGTTATTGGTTCTATTTAAATAGAAATTATATATCATGTTTCAATTTAATCAGATTTATTTTCTCGTCAGAAGAATGAAACTAAATTAATATGGCATATGGTTACTCTTACAATGATTCATATTTAATTAACGAACTAAAGTTTACACAAACATTATTAGCGAATGTGCGTAAATTGACAGAAGGGAGTAAATGTCAATAGTTGCAAGATCCCATGCATACGCAGCGTTGTTACTCAAGCGCGAGAATGTGTTCTGACAATCATACATATATGGGTATGGACATAGATTTCGGCGTAGTTGAAGATACTTAGTTAGAAAAACAATTAAAAAAAATCTTAGAAATACATCGAAATTGGAACGAAAATAAAATCTTAAAAATCGCACATTCTTATGCTTTCAAAAGACATTAAAAGCTTCAACAAATATACATATTCGTCGCAGATTTCTAACACATTATACTGCGTAAAAAACTGCACTTTTACGATTTCAGTTTCGTGCAAGCAGTTAAACGCGTTTTTACACGTTCGGTTTTTGAATTGAATGTATCCCTAGAGAAGAAATTCATATCTCATGAATCTAGATTGCTCGAAATGCAGTTTAGATATACCCTTAAATATTCGTAACTGGGGTATCGAGATTCTAACATATTTATTAGGATATTTATCTAATGAATTCATGGTACTTATATGACGCTAAATCAACGATTTTGAGTGGATTTGATGTAACGAGATGGATACCCGACTTTACATCCACATGTTTCCAGAATTCAGAGTATTGAGGTAAGGATGAGGAGATAGGCCTTATCTTAATTCAACGACTCTCTCTTCCCAAAACTCACCCACGTCCACACCAATGTGAAATTAATGTCAGTCGAACTTTTACTAATCAAAAGATGATGAAAAATTAACGGAGTCGAAGAAAACAATGATTGACTTGTACTAAAATCGACACGATCGCATACGACATCTTTTGAGAGCTGTCTCACATTAATAACCAACTTGGGTGAAATATGGATTGTGGACTTGAGTTTGGTTCACTTTTGACGACCAAAATGTTGCGTCAAACTGAAACATGTGAGTCAATAAGTCGTGTCTTTTCTGTTCTGTTGTGAGAATTGCACGTTGCTGATGCAACTTTAGACAATTATTTTATATAAATAGTTCGAAGAAACAGGGAGTAGTGTAACTTACTATTGATTGCCATGTCCCCCGCTATTTTCAATCGATTAGAATCGTTTAGCAACGAATTATTACTTGATATTTTTGAATATCTTGATGCATACAACTTGTATCAAGCTTTTTATGGATTAAACTATCGTATTGATGGTGTTCTTCAATCAGCTCATTTACACATTTTTTATGATTCATCAAATGAAAACAAACCAGGTTGGGATACACTTATATCCTCTGTCAATCCATCACAAATTCGTATATTGTCTTGTTATAAGGATATTAACATTGATAATCATTTTTTATCTGCTGCTAAAGAAAATTTACGGTCTCTTCGTTTATGTAAAGTGTATCGACCGGTAATTAACACAATATTTCAACATTTTTCTAGTGGTAATAAAATTAAATGTTTATCTATTAGAGAACATTCGCGTTTTACAAAGCGAAGTGATCATTCTCTCTTTGATCTTATATTAATCGATAATGCTCATCGTTTTACCTCACTTGTTAATCTTTCATTATCATGTACCCGCTATATGAATGTTTCCTCTGCTGGTTCAGTTCGATTTTTACAGCTGCGTCATCTATCAATTAAAAACTGTTACTGGTCAACAAATTTTCTTCAACTTCTTCAAAGTAATATACCAAATCTCAAATCACTAAAATTTATTGGATATTACCACTTTTTGAATCTACCATCGGATTTTGTTTTGAAACGTGTTGATGAACTGCATATGAATTACTCTGGTAACTTCGTCGGTCTGCACAATATACTTTCTGTTTTTCCTTGTTTACGTCGACTCTATATAGATCAGGGAAGCGGTCGACGATCTGCAATTATCAATGGTGTTCAATGGCAGAAGCTGATTGAAAATTATTTACCAGATTTGAGACAATTAACTATTGATTTTGGTGATGGAATTGATGATGATATTGTAGAAGCTTTTTATTCAGGTGAATTTTGGTCAACGAAAAAAGTCAATGTAAAGATGATAATAGACAAAACATATTCTCGATATCGACTTGTCAAAACAATTTATTTTGGCCGCCAATGGCAGTTTAGATACTTTGATAACTTTGATTTGTAACATGTGTAATATTAGGAATTAATGCGTTGATAGAAATTTCTTTCTGAATGAGTGATACAGTGTTTTGCTATGTATATGTTATATGAGGGGCATGAATATTTTTGATCACCAAAAAAGGTACATTTGATCACCAAAATGTGTTTGTTGCGAAACGATCACCAAAAAAAGATACATTTGATCACCAAAATTTTTTATTGCGAAATGATCACTAAAAAAAGGTACATTTGATCACCAAAAATTTTAATTGCGAAATGATCACCAAAAAAAGAAACATTTGATCACCAAATTTATTAATATAATAACAGATAGTATAAGAAATGACACCTCTACTTATACAACATAATATGAGAAAAAAAATTACACAAAAAAGAATAAATAGTAGGAACAGACAATTTTAATAAACAATCATGGTAAGAATGCTGTACGAACCTTTTTTGGACGACCTGGAGTTTTTCGTTTTCCTAATGGTGTATAACGAGTTTTATCCGTAATTTGGTACATATTGAATAAAATTGCAAGTCCAACAGAATGTTTACATCTATATTCTTTGAGACCAATTGGGCATGTACAGGATGTAAGTGGTGATACTAACCAGCATGATGATTTCCATGCTGCATAATCATCGAATGAAGCCCATTGACTTGATTTATAAATATCTAACCACGTCGACGTTGTAATAACAGCAGTTGAAGAAGGGACAATATAATAATTATTAAACCAATTTAAAATTTCAGATTGATTCACATTTAATGACCATTTATACGTACTTAATTCAACAGCAGGAGTTATATCAGTTAAAGTAGCAAATGGCGATGTAATACTTGCTTCCGACCAATCGAATAACATAGTTTCTACTTTAGGTAGAAAAGTAGATAAATGAAGTTTGTTACGTAATGTATATTTTTGTTTTATAATTCCGTTAAGTGATTCAAGTCTATTATTTGTGGATGGTTTAGCAAATGCGGCACCTTCGTACCTGAACAACAGAAAAAAAAATTGTCTTATATTTATAACAAGTTCTTTTCTTACCAGTAACGTATTTTAGAAATCCATTGTTCAGTAAAATAATCGACGAATCTTTTCATTGTTGGAATAAGACTCCATTTTTGTAATAATAATGTAACACCACGGTCAAATAGATCATCTGTAAAAGCAAGTTGAAGTGTATGAATATCTTTATCAATAATTTGCCAATCATTTTTTGTAACTAAATTACGATGTTTTTGACAATTTCTAATCATATGACTCCAACACATAAGTCGACGACTATTTGGAAATATCATTTCTTGTGCACATGTAATAGCTAAATAATAGAAGTCGTTCTTAAATACTATGTAGCTAAATATTAGAACATACCTGGTGCACCATCAGACATTACTTGATTTACTAAACATTGTAGATTAAGTTGAACAGCTAATGTTTTTATTGAATTAAATAATTTAAGATAACATTCGGTATTTTCATCTTCTGAAATTAATGCCATACCAAATGGCTTAAAATGACGATTGGCATCGGTTGAGCCAAAAACCAGAAGAGGTAAATTGTTCCAGGTGACTTTGTAAGTTGCATCAACTTGTAAATATGTTGTTAATTGAATTTGTTGGAACAGTTGTTTTGTTGTAAAGAAAACAAATATATTATTTATATCAACAACATTATAAAATGGTACAAAAGTAGAGTGGAGTTCTTTAGCTTCTCTGTGTTCGTTACACCAGTTTTGTAAATCATGAATTGAAAATATTTCTGGTCTATCTTTTCGTCGTTCATAAACTATTAAATTGTGTAATTTATCTTGATTAATTGAATGTTGTGGATAATTTGTAATTAATGATGTTTTAATTTGAGATTGTGATAATCCACATTTAACATGATTAGATACGGTTTTACGTATTGGTGATGGTAACCTTGTTATTGGATTACGTTCATTTTCTTCATGTTCATGTAAATTTCTGGATATAATTGTTACACAATGCATATTGTTATCAGGCACAACAATTTTAATTTCAAAAGAACATAATGGATATTTTCTATATTCACTGCATTTAAACGAGTATTTTGTTTGATTATTTAAATCTGATCGTCGATATTGACAAACATTGAATCGTGATTTTACGAAATCTTTTGCTTCATCATATGATTGAGCTGTGCGTATTAAGGTCCATTCTTTAGTTGACATTTTTTTATGTTGTGCATCGTTATGAAAGACTATCGCTTATAAATGTTCCGAGTTCATGGGATCATTCATTAGATAAGATTAATACTAATTAATTATGTGTTATCAATTAATTAGCTTTTAATTTAAGATAGCACTTTATCTTCCAGAAATGCACCCTCTATTAATTGTAGACAGTAATTTTCTGTTAATCATTTGGCACTAATTATTTTGGTGATCAAATGTTTCTTTTTTTGGTGATCATTTCGCAATTAAAATTTTTGGTGATCAAATGTACCTTTTTTTAGTGATCATTTCGCAATAAAAAAATTTGGTGATCAAATGTATCTTTTTTTGGTGATCATTTCGCAACAAACACATTTTGGTGATCAAATGTACCTTTTTTGGTGATCAAAAGACAGGTTTCCCTTATATGAGTGGATTCTTTCATTGTCAAAGCGACAAATAGACACTTTTGAAATTTTCTTTTAGGATTAAATTCAATATTCTTTGTAAAAAAAACGATGAGCTGTTGATAATGTGTTTATGACTATGAGAAGTCTTTATTAAATAGATTAAAAGATACCAAAATATTAAACCGTTGACACCAAATGGTTTAGTAAGAAGTCAAAGTCTCTTCAATGGTTTATCTATTTATGAATTAGTTCTGTATTGGTTCAAGTTAAACCTTTAATATATTTTATTTTGTTGATTTTGTAAATCATAGTTTTCAAAAGATCGTCATTTATCCAATGGTCTTTTTGTAATTTAGTTGCAAAGTTTGATAGAATCTTCTTGTTTTATAAAAATCTGTTTTTATTTTAAACGAGAGTGCTTTTCTATTGCATAATAATATTTAATATTCGATGGCATATTTTGTGATACGTGATACTGTTATCATTATACATATGCATATATTGTTCTTTTTGCGTGATCTGATTATCATCGTATTTTCTTCTTCGTGATTCTTTAATTCCTTCATTATTGAAATAAAGATTGAACTCACATTCAAACAAAATAAGACAAAACTTGCAATTCACAGTGGATAAACGGGTGAACGTGACCGAAAGTTCATTTTGCGAAAATTCAAATATTGGAATGAATACAACTATGATTGGTCTATCTTGTCCTAAAATAAGATCTCCAGAAATCAACTAAAATGTTGGAAAAGTTCATCGAAAAAAATTTTTCATAAATTGGTAATTGTACGGGAATCATTTCTATTACCAAGTCATCGAATAATTTTAGAATGAAATACTGCCTGAAACGAATAATTGCCCCATAAACTTCATTGTGTGATAAATTTACTGCAATAGAGTCAGAAATGGAATAGAAAAAAAAGTGATTACTGGACTGATAGTAAGTTGAATCATTAGTCATACCATATTTTGTAAACGGTCAAAGCAATTTAAGTCCAGTTTACCTCAAATTTTCAGTAATTATTCTCTTATATGTGGTTTATCGTTGGTCAATGAGTCGAGTTGTACCAATGAACAGAAACAGTGCTGGTGATTTCCCAAAGAACCAGGATTTTGTCTCGAGACTCTTAGTTTTGCAAAGACAGAGACATTTTTGAGCAAAAACAAGGTGATATTCGAAACGAACTCGCCGAGCTACATCGGATCATGTATAATAGTAAGAGTTTTTTGAAAAAACAAGTCGCTTCCTTTACTCGACAAAGTTTCGCAAATTAGCCTTTTCGTATTTTGCAGATGCTCAAAACAGTTTACGTTCGACTAGTCGAAAATTTTCACCAATTGTTCCTGTACCTGCGATTCATCGTTAACCGTAGCGCTATGATGCACTGATGAGCATACTCCGCGCTATGAGTCTCCCAGACATTGAGGTTTTTGCGCCTAAATCGCAATTTTTACACACAACGAACCATTTTGGTGCAAGACCAAGATGATACTCAAAATCAACCGGTGAAGTTCTGTGCAAAACAAATGTAGCATTCATTTTTTACTGTAAAAAAGGTTTGTGTCTTATGCTCAAAGCCGTCCCCAAAATTGCCTTTCTCTATTCTGTAAATGCTACAAACAGCTGAAGTCCAATTTAGCTCAAATTGTCAGTAAATATTCCTTGATACATGATCTATCATTGATTGTAGCACCGAATGGCACCAGTCAGCCTGAGCTGAGTTCGTCGTTCTTAAAATGGCATCTCAGAGCAAAAACAAGATAATATTTACGATCAGTGCTTGAAATCACGTTGTATGAGCTACGGCAGAATGTATTTTCTAACAAAAGAATGTTTTCGAAAAATGTGTGCAGGGGTCTTCAACAGATGATTTTTGCGGACAATTCTTTTTTTTATTAAAGTGATTCTATTGACTTTGATTCACATGTTTGGTTTACTTCTGCGGACCAAGATTATTTTGATTTATAGACCTAATCATTGTTGTAATACGAATAATTATTCATCCATCATGCTTATCATATTCATAGTGTTAAAATTTATGGCAGCCATACTATTTAAACACTTTCTTTACACATATTCGAATGATATCTGTAATTAAAATCTTGTATCAATTGTTCATGATAACAGTGACTTCTTGTCTGAATCATTGTAGAGTATTCTTGAGGGATAATTCTCGGATTCTAAAATTCAATAATCGTTATTCACATGATCCATTATCTATGTCTTCACTTACATCTTGAGAATGTATATCTGATTCTAATAAATTTATTAACATATCATTCATTATTATTGATTTCTTGAATAAAAACTCTCAACATGATTTGTACGAAAGGTTCTATTGGATTTTTCAAATCATTTGCCAGCGTCTTCTTTATATTACATCATTCAAGTTAGTGTCTTGAATGAATGGAAACATACATCAAAACAAGTACAAAAATACGATTATTATAAAAGCAAATTATTTTTAATATCTAAAGTCATAAAAGAGCTAGAATGCAAGTACGTATTTTTTCTTTACATCATCGCTACAGCTACCATTTATTTATGTATCAGTGCCGTAGGAGAAATAGAAGTGTCAATGATGGTAATGAAGCCGAGTAAACGCTTGAGTTAGAGACATCAAAATTGTCGATAAATACTAGTGTAGACAATTCTAGTAATAACATACATGTGATTGGATTACTATTAAACAATATTTCATTATTCATTAATGAATTAGTTTTCGATGCATTATGAAGTATTATTAAGGCCTGACTGTGGATGTAGGTAGATGGGGATGTAAGTTATCTCTCCATCAACACTCACACTCACAATCACATTATCAAACTCTCACCAAGAGCCACACAATGATACAAACATCAACAAGTATCTCAACAATTTCACATCAGAGTCACATCCACATTCATACCCTTGGCTGATGATAACTCTCGACGACAAATATTATAGGAGATGTCAGAGTAGGCTAACGACGAATTCCACTCATTTCTTTCGGAGAATACACATCCTATCTCATTGTGCAAAAATACAACAGGAACAATTAGATGAAAATGAGTTGCGAGTAACATCTTAAAATACATTTCAGCTTCAACAACTTGATCTAACTCACAGAGAAGAAACCAAAAAAAATAGGCACGTAGTGAATAATTGTCTATCTCATGCTTGACATATCCTAGATATTGTTAAATGCTCTTTATACCTTCATCAGTGACGATCAGTTGCACTTTCCACGGGCAAAACTTCGAATCATAATCGACAAAAGTAATTCGGACGAGGAAATTTAGCTTGAAAAGAATATCTGGCTCGTCTTTCATTCCGTTTCTGTCGCTGATATTAGTACACACGACTCTGTTCAGCAAAGATAGATGTTATACTCATCGATTTCATTCATAGTTCATTCCAATCATGCATAAATCCTCATTTTAGAAATTTCTTCACGAAAAGGATGCTGAAAAGGAGTGCTGCAGACAAGCACATGAGTGATGACCAAAAGCCACAGTTAAGACCATGTCAAGAATGACAACACATAAAAGACAGATAGAGAATAACTAACATAAAGCTCATAAAACCAACAGATTAAATTTCAGCATTGACTTGACAAGAGACAGATAACAAAGAAGGACATGATTTCGATTTGGAGGTAGCAGAAAACAGCAAAATTAATTTCAAGCATTGATTTCCATAGACAAGTATCATCCAAATATCTGTTTTCACCCACAACATCGATGATGATAAGGACGGAAAAGACGAAAAAACATTGAATTGATAAAGGATCCTAAGAGTTACAAAAACAGTAAATCAATCACTTTGATTTACTGTTTCGATCCAGATACATTCCTCTCGCTACTGCTCTCAGCATTTTGGATTAATAGCAAATATTGCTTTGAATGTCGTATATTATCATTCATACAAACGTTGATATCTTTTTCGAAGCATTTTTTCAATAAAAATATGTATAGGAAAACCTGTACAGGTTCTTTCTGTTATTTGTTAGATCGGTGTTGAGGACGTCTGAAGTAGTTTTCTCGACCGATGGACATTGGCAATGTTCCAGAAGATGACCATATCGGTGGCAAATTTGTGGTACTCGTGTTGAAAGTTCGATGATGATGATCCCTTCCAATTCTCAGTATCTTAAAAAAATCAACTAATGATAAATACAGAGGGGCGATGGTTTTGACGCTGCTTACATCAGTGAAAGCGTGACATTGTGGTCGAAAAACAGTCGGCATGGTGTGTATCATAGGTTTGTACCTACCATACTCTTGATTCGAGGTACGATAAAATGGATGCGGTGAAAATTTACTATAGCCCTGCCATTCATCTGAAAAAAAACCATGTGCTATTGCTGAAATCGGACTTTTGATCCTTACCTGGATTCTCGAATCGAAATGGAATGCCGAAAGTTCGATATTCGTCACTGGTCAATCGTGTCTTTCTCATTGGATTGCGCGACTTGAAAAACAGGCTGCTGATAAAGGATGGAACAGTCGGCGATTCGAAGAGTATTTCACCATTTGGTCTAATTTCGGTATATTTCGCGAGCGGACGATCGGTCAAGTACTGCATCGAAATATCGTCTATGAGTAGAGGTAATAAAAGTTATT